ACAACTCTTTATTCAGCTAAAAACAGAAGCACACTAACTGCTGCTTAACCACTATTTATACAGCTTACCACTAGGTGGCAGCCAATAGAATTAAAGCAGTATTTCCCTCTTAAAGACAAGCTAATTAACATGTAGACAGTCAGCCTGGAGCTTAAACAGGTGCAGCCTTTTGGCCGTTTCCAACAATTTCCAAATAAATTAACCTCAATACATAACACAGCTGTTAAGGCCCTGTAAGCAAAGCCCGGATTAGGAGGTGTCTATACCTGCTGTAGAAGTAGCAGGTCCTTCCAGACTTCCCTGAGTCTGGAAAGTGACTGGCAGTTGAAGGAGGTGCCTGTACCTGCTGTGTTGGTGGTGGCAGGTCTTCCTGGACCCCTTTTTGGTTTGCAAAGTGACAGGTGGTGTGTTCCCTCGTTAGCAGGTGCCCGTATTCTGTGAGAGAACCAGAGTCTTTCTGTACATCTTTTTTTGTTTGAAAACTAACAAGTGGAGTTGCAGAGTTTGGCCGCAAAGGGAGACCCAGCTAAGCCAATTGAATCCTACATTGGAAGGGGAACATGGGAAGCTGTAGCTCGAGGCTCATGACAGGAACCCCCTAAGAGAGTTGCTTTTAGCATGGGATGAGAAGCGAGTGCCCGTCCTAACCAGTTTGAAGAAAAAAGGATAAAGATAAATTTGTGAAGAATGGGTTTTGCTCAGGGCTTTGTTGGGAAACCAATTTGGCTAAATAAAGGTACTTAAAAGGAAAATAAAATATAGGAATAGTGATTTCTCTCTCTCTCTCTCTCTCTCTCTCTCTCTCTCTCTCTCTCTCTCTCTTTCTATCTATGCAACCATGAAATGTTTAAGATTTATGCCATTCCTAATTTGAGCTAACTAAGATTTATAGTGGGAATGACCAGGATGTATAAAACTAAGAGTTCTGTTTCCCTTTTCTGTTCTCTTTTCCTTGTCTTTGTGTTTATATGTCAAGGTCTTTGTGTGTCCTCAAGATAAATGTTAATTGTCTCTAATCCAAAGATAAAAGAGTTTTAAAATTCTTCTAGAAATTCTGCTTAAATTAAGCCACCAAAAGGAAAATACCTTAATTTTGTGTGGCCAACAAAATACAGTGAAGTGAAGAGAATTGAGTTCCTTTTGCCTTCCCTTGTCAGGAGGGAATGTTTTAAGCTCATTTAGAGGAAAAAGTTTTATTTGTGCATTTTCTGTATGTGTTGTAAATGGGTTTTATCTTTCTATTCTCCTAAAACATGAGGTATGTCCACCCACAGGAGCCTCATGAGCTCAGGTTTGCTTGTATAGGGAAATAATCTTCTTCTTAAGTTACTTTTCTTATCCTATCACTAATCAGTGAAACTATTGTGGAACTAATCGGGAATACATAAGCATTTATTTTCAATCTCTAATATGGTATTTTTATCTAAATTGTGCATTGGTAATACTGGGCAAAATGCTGTCATGTTGTTTTAAGAAATTGGAAAACAGATGTAAAAGATAGACACTCCTGCTCCTGGCAAATTGCATGCTTTAAAATATTAGGCTTTTAAAATTATTTGGAGCTTTCAGCATTCTCAAGCTTCCCAGCATTTTCAAGTTGTAAGTTCTTAAGTCCTCTTTAATATGTTGCAAATGTTCAATTTCAGAAGTGAGACTTTTCATTTTTTGTTCTCTTACCAGAATCCAGCCTCTCTTTTGTCTGTGGTGTCCCCATTTTGTCTGCTTATCTGTTTCTTTAACAACTACAGTAATGTCTTTTCAAACTCTGCCTGCAAGCAGAGTTCTACTTCTCCATTTTTTATTTTCTGTTCTCCATGCCTTTGTCTGATCAGCAAAGCCTCTCCTGGGAGAGTCCACCCAGAAAGGGGGGAGGAGATCTTGTTCTCATGTCTTTCAGCCCTGCACAGATGACCCCCACAACCTTTGGAAGCAGAGCACACTGACCCAGGCACTACCTCCATTCATTTGAGCCATGGAATTCGATTTGATCCAGCCATCCACTAAAAAGCCACCATGCAACCAGAGTGGAATAGATGTTCCCAGTGCTACATCACCTAGTTGCCTGTGAAAGCTGCAGAAAGAGGAAGAAGTCCTGGAGCCATTGGTCCCCATGTGAAGTCTTAGAGGAAAACTAGGAAGACTATGGAGGGAGGGCAGAAATTCATTGTAGTTTTCTTCCTTGCCTCATTTGTATTGTAATAAGTCAGTTGAATATATTTATGGAGAGATGGCATTTGAGAATAGTGGCACAGCAAGTATTGAACATGTTGGATTTCTGTCTGGTGGGAGGCAAATTTGTCAAGGATGTTTGTATTATATGTTTGGTAGAAGTAGCTGCATGCGCGCGCGCGCGCACACACACACACACACACACACACGAACACCATTCAGAATCACACTAAGGCTATCCCCTTCACCTACCTCCATATAAAGATTCTTAGACTGGTTCTTGCTCTGTGGCATTAAAGCTTTTCATACATAACTTCCTGCAAATTCCAAGGGGGAGGGAATCAGCCCCCCTCAGGCGATTTGCATTTCATATGCTCTCACTGAGGAGGTAGCAGGAAAGAGATCTCCAAACCCAAGCCCTGAATATGTTGCACTGGTGGACTCAGAGTGAGAGTCCTAGGGCTCACTGTGTGCAATTTAATAGCCTGGCTTGCATAGTGGCTAACCTCAATTGGACATCACAAACTTACGTACACTGAACTAAGAGATAAGGCAGGAAACAACCCTTGAAAATGGGCAGCCAGTGGTTATGTACTGAGGCAAACCATGTCTGTGAAGAATTTTGGAGGCATGTGTAGTCTTGATTGGAAAGCCCAAAGTGGCATCAAACATCTAAAATAATTGGCATAGAATATTGCACACAATAAATTTCTTTTCCACCTAACAGAACTTTTGTCCTGATTTTTAGACCTTATGGGTTGGAAGCTCCCCTTTTGGAAGCCACTTCAGGGATCTTTTTCTGCTGCCTCTATTAGTGCCTTCCCTTTTTTCATTAAGAGTTTAAAAGCTTGTTTATCAAGTCTCCCTGACCAGATCAATTTTAACCCTGTGCCAATAAAAGTGTGTCACTCACACTCTTATGGCACAAAGGGGGAATATTGTGGGAAGAATCCAGAGAAAGAAATATTTTGGGAAATATTAAAAAGGCAGAATATATAATGGAGAAGATCTTTTAAAAAGACAGAAACTAGCCCCCAGAAATCAGCCTCAGCCCCTAGACAGAGGCCAGCTTTTAGAAATGCAAATTCAATAATCCATCCAGGAAGGTTGGAGCCAGGAAGCTAGAAATTAGGAAGACAAAGACACCTAAAATCTACATACCCCCACCCAAATTCTAAGGACAGGAGACATAATAGGATTAACCCACCAATACCAAAAGGGCACACTCAGAGACTCAGGTCAAAATACATGACACAAGAAATACAAAGCCTCAAACAGGAACAGGAAACAACCTCAAGAGCCCCAGAAGGTATAAAAGCCCACTACTCAGCTCAATGTGGTTAGTTTTTACCAACAGAGCCATCTTTCTGTCTGGCTCACTCTTCAATAAATTACAACTTTCTTTCTAAAGCAGTCTCTATGTTGTTTATTCCTGGCTTGGACTAGACCCTGATGAAGATTTTTCTTTCAACAAAAGTTTATTCCTCCTTTAATGGCCACACTGGCTGTTTTTTTAGGCCCTTGGCCACCATGGCCAAACTGGCAGTGGGTGTCCCAGCCAAGCTCCATTCTGGGTTGCCACTGCTGACTTCTAAAAAGAATGCTAAAAGGATCTGGATGTGTTTAGCCTAAAAAAAGAGAAGGAATATGCTGTTCTTCTGTTCTCGAAGGGTATATCAGGGTGGATAAAATAGAATAAAATCAAATAACCCCAAAATAAAATAAGTATATAGCAAAATAAAGAAAAATAAAAAATGTACTTGTTTTTCTTTTGGCAACAGCCAGAAAAGCTAATACAATCCTTAGTTGCATAAACAGAGGCACAGAATCAAAAACTTGGGAAGTATTAGTATCATTTTATAAAACCTTAGTAAGACCACTCCTGGAATACTGCATCCAGTTTTGGTCACTACGTTACAAAAAAGATGCTGAAGGTTTGGATAAAGTGCAGAGAAGAGCAATTAAAATAACTAAAGGCTTGGAGACTGAAACAAATGCAGAAGTGTTGCAGGGTTTGGATACGGCTAGTCTAGAGAAAAAGACATGATAAAGTATTCTAGTATTTGAGGGGTCCAGGACAAGACAAGAAACAATGAATGGAAACTAATCAAGGAGAGAAGCAACCTGGAATTAAGGAAAAACTTCCTAACAGTGAGAACAATTAACTAATTATTACTCTTTTTATATTAGGATCTCCAGTTGACTTTAAAATAAAAAAAGCTTCCTATATAATTAATTATGCTTCCAGTATTTCCAGAGCAGTATTTCTCAACCTTAGCAACTCTAAGACGAGTAGACATCAGCTTCCAGAATTCCCCAGCCCATGTTCTTTTACGCTTCTGTCTTTTTATCCTTCAAAGCACCAGAGTGGCTTTTATTTCTTCACTATACATTGTTATAGAGTGACGTGTTTAAATCATATAGATTTCATAACCACTTCTTTGATGGTATCACTCAACTTGATCTCCACATTCCATTCTCTCATTCAATTGCCCTTCTCAAGCTGCCTATTGAATCTTTGTTATTGCTTCATATGCTTATGCAAAACTGAATTTTCATTTGGAATTTCTTTCCAAACTAGCCTTTTCTAATTCTGTGTAATTGCAGTGTCACTATTAAATCCATTGAAAATTATTTATTTCCTTATCTTTATTGTAGTGTCTATATTTAGAACATCCCTATTTTTAAGATAATTTAAGATGCTGATTTTCTATTTGGGGTAACTTTGATGAAATATTCTATTATATCTTTTAAAGAAAGCTTTGTTTTTTGTATTTATTTTAGTTGTGATGTTGATCTTTTATAGGTATCTAATTCTTTCAAAGGCCGGATGAGCAAACAATATTTTAATGAAGAAATAAATAAGTGCACAAATTTACAATATGACACTTTCTATTCTTATTTCTAAGGAAACAGCTAATTAGAACAATTAGGAAGATTTCATCTTTATAATAAATAAAGATTCCTTCTAATTTTTTCCAACTAAAACCTTTCTTCCAGTGAAGAAAACAGCAACATTTAGTATTTTGTAGTGCATTAAATACAACCATGGTAAAATAAATTTTACATGCATTCATATGTAACAATTCACAGATATAAATGCAAGACATCATAGCATTACATTATGAAAACATTTCAAAGACACAGCATTGAATAAAAAATAAAATACAAATATAAATGACATTTATAAAAATAGTGCTTTGACCTTTACATATATTCTCTGATCAAAACTTGAAATTCTTTCACTTATAAATATTAATAAAATATTTGTTTATATTATTAAATAAATGGATTCTGTATGAATCCTTATTTTATACATGAAGAAGATTTTGGTCTTTTTCAGCATCTGTAGCAACCTCTTTATAATTTTTGCTTGTAGCAAGTCTCTCCTTCTTATTTAGATACCTGTGAGAAGAAAGAACATCTTTAGAAGAACATAAAATAAGTTGAGCCTATTGTAGGTCATAAAATAATCTTCTTTTACTTCTTCAACATACAACTTAGGTTCTAAGGTAATAACTTTAAAAGGTAGTACAAAAAGCATGGAGAAAGGCAATGGTATTGATATGTCAGTGAGATTTTCTCATCTATCACTCTTCTATGATATTTGCTCTATCCAGACTTCTATTTCTCTTATTTTCCTTTTGGAGGGTTTCAAAAGTTACATTTTAGCATATTGAAGCATGAAGGCATATGTAAAAATCATCAATAATAGACAATTATTGGTCAATAATAGACAATATATCAATCTGTTTTCATATCATGCAAAGATTCCTTTACCTGAATTTAAAAACATATTTAAAAACAGTAGGAAATTATGCATATGTAGTGATCTGAATAAGTTCCAGAAATGGAAACAAAATTATTAACACCTTCATGACCTTCTGCAAACGAGATCAGAATAGACTCTTAAAATCCATTAAAAAACTGACGTTTCTGTCCTTTTGATAGCCTTTTAATATGCAGAACATTTTCAGATAAAATGTTTTTTATTCCCAATCTCAGATCCTTATGCATGTGTCTGTGTGTTTGCTAAATTCAATTTGCTTACCTTCGGTAAAAGTATATTGATAATAAAATTGCACTGAAGAAAAATAGACACAAGAGGATAGTAAATGCCAAGTATTCATTGCTCAAGGGTTTTTTGACCAGGTTCAGATTTGAATGGCTACATCGTTCACCAATCCAGCCCTCCTTGCACCTAACGGGGACAGGAAAAAGTCAACATTAGACATACTGCCTATTTTTTAGTATCAAAGAGATTGAAAGCTGAGATTACAGTCAACAATGAAGCACTATTCCAAGGGTATTATAGCAACTCTCTTTTAATAGAGAATCCTAAGGACTGAACTTCTGGGAAAAGGAACAGATTTATTGGTATTCTCAACATATTACAATTCCCAAAATTCTTTTAAGACACAGTTTCTCAATCTTTCTCATTTCACCTCACCTCTAGTGGTTCCCAAACTGTGCAATCTGGAACCCTGGGGCACAAAGCTCATTAGTCATTCTGTTTGTTAATTAGTCAAATATCCTATGTGGCCCTTGCAAATTCACTCTGATTCCAAGGTGCTGTGATGCAGTTTGGGACTATCTATTTCAAGAATAGTTAAAATGAAATTAACATTTGAAATGTAGAGGCACCAGTAGTGTTTAGCCTTTCCAACCCAGTGTCCTTAGGATATATTGCACTACAACTCCTATCAATCCCCCTCTAGCAAAAACATGTCCATACAAGCTATGGGTAATAAGAGTCTTAATCTCATTAATCTGAAAGATTCCAGGTAGTGAAGGCTGTTTTCATACAGTATATATGCACTATGAACACATAAATGGATGAGGAGCTGTTGATAGCCTTGATTGATGATTATGTGCCATATAATTATTACAAACTCTTAGTGACAACACAGATTTTCTCTAGGACAGCCAATCCCCTACCTGATCTTTCAGTCTTCTAACAGCGTATCCATTGTGGCTGTAACTGAATCCAGCCATCTTGCTGCATGTTATTCTTTTATTTTCTTCCATTTTTTTTCTAGTAGTATATACTTTTCCAGATTTCTCTAGAACTTCTGGGTCTGAAGTATGACCATTTGAACCTTTTTATTTGTGCCTTGTGATGATTGATTTGTTTGATTATCCATTTACTTAGATAACACTTACTTTACTATCCATGGGTCTTCTAATATAACATCAATGTTCAAAAGTATCCATATTTTTATTTTGCTTCTTCAAAGAACAATTTTCTCTTCCACAGAGGGAAATCACATTGCCTGCATTATTCTGATCTTTGTAAGCATGGACACAGTCTAGTATCTGAATATCTTTTCCAGGCTTTCATGGCTAACTCCACCCAATGTGGTCTGTGGCATATTTCTTGATTGCTTTACTCTTGATAATTGAAGGTAAAAGACAGAAGCTCTCTACCACTTCAATATCTTTATTATCAATTCTAAGGCTGGTTGAAGGATCTGTTGACATTAGTTTGATCTCCTTTATCTTTAATTTTAATTCTAGTTTCACTGTGTTCTTTGACTTTCATTACTAGAACTTACATGTTATTTGTACTTCCAATTGTCAGAATAGTTTTCAATCTCTTTCTCTAATTTTAAAACTCATCTTCTTCCAAACCAGTTTCTTTCAAAAAAAGCCAAGATGATGACAATTTAGCAGATCCTGAAACAAGCTCTTAACTTTCCTGACTCAGTTCCCTGACCTTGGCTCAGTCCTTACAGCCTAAAAATGATATCCAGAGGCAAGAAAAAGAATTGTCCAGTCCCAGTAATGATTATCAGGACCATATGTCTAATAAAGCATTGGTCTTTTTGAATATTCAGAAATATTGTCCAATACAAGCAGCTGTACATTTTTTTTCTAAATCAGAAGGGCAAGCAATATTAGAATCCATGCACAAAGATAGATTTTCTATCACAGCAATTGAACACCAACTAGCAAGATAGAAACAACAGAAATCCTAGAATACTTCAAAACTAGTCACAGTTTTCTGTTTTGTTGTGCTTTAAGAAGTGTTGAAAAATCAGGTTGAACAGAGAAGGTTGAGTAGAGAAAACCAATTAGTGTGGACATTAAGAGCCAATGCCAATTCAATGACACATAATCATTAATCAAAATTATCAACAGTTTCAAACATTTCTACACTTTCTGTGCAATAATTTGTTCAAGCAGGGAGGAGAAAGATCAATAGCAGATCTAGGCAGAAATCAGAGTGGTATGAATGTAAGAAAAACAGTTCCTGAATTTCTGTGTCTTTAAGGCAGAGGAACAAGAGCAGCAGTTTTTTAAAAAGTGTTCTTACTTAAAACACTAAGCATTATCATCATTATTTATTTTATTGTTATCACCATCATTTTCACTTTTTACTTCATAGCATTTCTTCTACCTGCAGTAATATCGTTCCAAAGTCTCTGAGTATCTGCAGTCTCCATTAAAACAGTAACTTCGCCATTCTGGCTTGCATTCTGTCTCTCTTCCCACCTGAGTTATGGGTACAACAGTTCCTGTTTGAATGACAGCAAACACATGCATAAATAAAAGCTAACCTGCATTATCATCTGTGAGGACATGGCTTTCTTCAAGGATCAAAGACATGCAGGTAGGGTGGAATGTTAAGGATAAAACTTTCTCTTCCTTAACATACTGGCAGAAGGCCAAGGCCAGATAGCATGGACGGTAAGGTCTTTAGAATTAGATCTGGGAAAATCCAGGCTCAGCTGGGAATATATACAGCCCAGATTGATGTTTTTTCTCAATCTAACTTATTTCATAGGATTGTAACAAAGATATAATGGTAGGTTTAAAAAAATATAAAATATTTTTCTACTATTTCAAGATGTAGTTTTTAAAGAAAAAAACAAATAATATTATTCATTAGAGAAACCATAACTAAGTACTTGTCAGATAGAACAGACAGAAAGATAGATGTTGGCTTATTAAGAATTTGTTTTGAGTGCAAAAAAACCAAAACCCAAAAGCCTTTTATTTCAATATCTGGATATTACAAGGGCTTCCAAATTTAATGTGGTCATTTCACACTGTTTGCCATTTAGAGCACAATGCATCTAAAATATTTCCTGAAAAGTCTATTGGAAAATGGAATGGAATAGAAGCTGACTAAGGATTCACAAAAGTTTCCATAGATGCAGTCTACAGTAAAAAAAAAAATGTATTTAGCGTCATCCATCTATATAAACAGAAACAAGACTCAGAAACAAATCTCAATGCAGATGCAGTTTAATTTTGACAGGAAATGCAGTTTAATTTTGACAGAAAGGAAATGTGATGGTGAAAGAGTGCCATACAGTTAGGGATACTGGAAATGCTCATTTTATTCATTATCTAGATAATGTTCTGATATTTTACTGAATACTAGAGACTAATTTGACTTACCTACAGTAGTTACACAGTTTTCAGTCTTATTTACTCCACATAGTGGGATTACTGTTGTACTAAGAGTGGTTTGAATTAGGTGCCATCCTAAAAAAAAAAAAAAAGAAATCTCAGGTTAAAGAAGGAGTTAACCCACTTCTAGACTCATAAACAAATTTATGAAGATTTGTACAAGACAATAGAGGTAGTGATGGTGCAAACATGAAGAATATCACATTCTTGAACACTGCAAAGAAAAATTAATGATTCAATCGTGTAGTTAAAATTTTGAATTCATTCATCTCCTTGGTCCCAGCAATTCCAAATTAGTTTCAAAGTTCTCTTGCCTAAACAGTGTCTTTCACGAGCAGATCATGCAGAACAAAGTTCTCCAATTGATGGTGGCCCACAATTAAGTTATATATATATATTGCTAACAGATGTACCAAAAATATTCCCAGTAGTTGTACAATATGTTTAGCAGCACTCTTATGTCATGAAGTTTCTCTTTTCCTATTGCCTACATTCAAGTGTTGGAATTTGGTGATCTTGTCTTCTCTCCCTCCCCAGCAATATAATTTTATCATTTCTTCTTTTGGAGAGGTTGTGGAAGAACGGCCAGCCACATGGAACTAAATATTTATCCAAGCTTTTTTAACTTTTGAAGACTATGGCAAAATGGTCTTGAAATGGTATCATCTTATCTCTGCACTCTCCAAAATTCAGCATTAAAAAAAAAAAAATTGGTTGAAGCTGCAAGAATCTTATTCTGGGTCAGGTTTGTAAAATACAGTCCCTGGATCTTCAAGGATGTTTCTCTTCCATGCGCCCAAGTCAGAGGTATGCATCCCATCACATTGAAAACAACGATGCTATACTGCTAGCATCTTTTCTGTAACAAAATCACTGCAGCAGGAAATTCTTACAACAGAGTGTCCCATAAGCATTCTTAGGACATGGCACCCCTTGCACAACTGTGCCTCAGCAACGTATCTACTTACCACATCCCCTTGGCATTAACTGCGAACTGTTCCCAGTTTGCGACTGGGACAGCTTTAACTGTACCAGTGTTAAAAGAAGGTTCTCCTCCCTGTTGCCTTTAAGAAGTTACCTGCGTCACTTTGGTGGGGAGTTAAGTGACTGGCAATGACTAACAAAGGAGGCAACAGAGGCAAAATGGGATCGAAAACAGTACAAGCTATCCATGCCTTTCGTCTGCAACGGGCGGGGGCATTCATGTCGCTGGTCAGCGGCTGGAGCGAAAAGGAGGAAGGACAGCTTACCCAGGAAAAGCAGGGCGCCTCCGAGGCTCTGAGAGCTGCAACTTGCCATTTGTCCACCGTCACGGAACAGGCTGTCTTCGATGCCAGGCAATCTTTTACGTGGTGTAAATGCCCGGTTCCTGCTGGCCATCGAAGGAGAGCACTACCCTTCTGCTACGGTTGGCGCGCCTTCCCATTTTATAGCCTCCCGGTCCGGGGGCGGGCGGAGGCCAGGCTCAGGCAAGCCGCAGAGATAATGGTGCGGTAAGCTTGGATATGCAAAGCGCTTGAATTTCCCCGCTGACGAAATCATTGCTAGAGGTGACTTTCCACAGCGAGGTAAAGGCGGGGCTGCTCCCATCACCTGCCTCGCTCTTGACGGGCAGAGAGGAAGGAGGGAGGGAGCGCCTCGCGCGGCCCGCTCAAATTCGACCGCAACGAAAGAGGCGTCCGCGGAACCTTCACAGCTTCTGTTGGGAAATAGGTGAATCTGGACCTGATTCTGGTTTCCTGTTAAGCTAGATTCCAGTGGAATCTCCTCTCGAGGAAGCCTTTTCTTCAATAGTATGGTTCCAAGAGCCCCAGAGAAGGCATGGGTTGGCTCCAGGATGTCTGCGGGCGGAGTCGTGACATGTAGCCCTGGACTAGCAAAAGCAGGTGCAAGGGCAGGTGGTTTTTCTCACACACAAACGTACCCGCAATCTCAGCTGCGGACCCATAGGCGGAGAAAGTAAGTGGGAGGAAGCGGAAGGACTAGCTCCCATTTAAGGACTGGTTCTCTGTTTGCTTGCTTCCATCCCTGTTGTGATGAGGTTGGCAAATAAAGAAATAACACCCAGATTAGATAATCTGAATCTGAGTGACGTGAGTCCTCAAATGGCTATGAAAATGACCTTTCAGCTCTCAACAGAAAGATCTGGATGTTGGCAATGCAATAGAATAGTAGAATAGAATAGAACTGGAAGGGACCTTGGAGGTCTTCTAGTCCAGCCCCCTGCTCAAACCTATACCATCTCAGACAGGTGATTGTCCAATCTCTTCTTGAAAATTTCCAGTGATGAAGTGCCCATGATTTCTGGGGGCAAGCTATTCCACTGTCCTCACTGTCAGGAAGTTTCTCCTTAATTCCAGGTTGCTTCTCTCTTTTAATCAGTTTCCAACTATTGTTTCTCATCCTTCCCTCTGGTGCTCTGGTGAACAACCTGATCCCCTCTTCCTTGGGGCAGCCCTTCAGATATTGGAATACTGCTATCATGTCTCCCCTGTTTCTCCTTTTCTTTAGACTAGCCAAACCCAAGCCCCACAGCTGTTCTTCATATGTTTTGGTCTCCAGGCCTTTGATCATCTTAGTTGCTCTTCTCTGAATTTTTTCCAAACTCTCAACATCTTTTTTGTGATATGCTGACCAAAATTGACCACAGTATTCCAGGTGTGGTCTTACTAGGGCTTTATAAAGCGGTACTAATACTTCGTGTGATTTTGATTCTATGCCTCTGTTTATACAACCCAGGATTGTATTAGCTTTTTTGGTTGCTGCTGCACACTGCTGGCTCATAGTTAAGTGATTGTCCACTAGGACTCCAAGGTCCCTCTCACAGTTACTGTTTTAAAGCCAGGTTTCGCTCAATCAGTATTTGTTCCTTTGGTTTTTCCTGCCTAAGTGTAAAACTTTGCTTTTCTGCACATTGAAACTCATTTTGTTGGATAGGACCCATTGTTCAAGTTTGTCAAGATCTTTTTGGATCCTGAGTTTGTCTTCTGGGATGTTGGCTACTTCTGCCAGTTTGGTGTCATCTGCAAATTTGATGAGTTCCTCTTTAATTCCCTCATCTGAAGATGTTGAAGAGTACTGGGCCTAAGATGGAACCTTGTGGTACCCCACTGCTTACTTCTCTCCATGTGGATGTAGTGCCATTGAGGACTACTCGTTGAGTATGGTTTGTCAGTCAGATATAGATCCATCTGGTGGTGATGTTGTCTATTTCACCTTTTTCTAGCTTGCCAAGTAGTAGGTTGTAGTCCACTTTGTCAAATGCCTTACTGAAATCTAAGTATACTATGTCCACTGCGTTTTGCTGGTCTACTAGTCTGGTCACTTTATCAAAGAATGAGGTAAGATTGGTTCGGCATGATCTGTTTTTAACAAAACCATGCTGGCTGCTAGTTATGACTTTGTTTGCTTCTAGTTGTTCGCATATCTGTTTTTTGATTATCTTTTCTAGGATCTTCTCAGGTATTGATGTTAAATCTGTAGTTTCCTGGGTCTGTTTTTTTTTTCCTTTCTTGAAGATGGGGACCACATCAGCCCTTTTCCAATCCTCATGTACTTCCCTAGTGCTCCAGGATTTGTGAAAGATGTGGTGCAGCAGTTCTGAGATAACATCTGCCAGCTCTTTCAGAACTCTGGGAAGTAATCTGTTGAGTCCTGGTGATTTATATTTGTCAAGGTTGGATAGGTTTGGTGGCAGAAAGGTCATTTGGTGATCAAATCTAAAATATCTAATTCCCTTGCACTGAATCCAGACTTAGACACATTTAAAGTAGATGTGTCTGACTGATTTCACTTTGAGGCTGATGTTACATATAATGCTAATCCAGGTTTTATGGAAGTCTAGATTTGGACATTATTAAGCTTTAGTGAATGGAGTCATACTTCTCAGTCTGCCAGAAAGAAGGAACAATGCATATTAGAGATAGTTCTTGACTTATGCCCACAATATCCATTGCTAAGCAAGACAGTTGTTAAGTGTCTTTTGTCCGATTTTTTGACCTTTCTTGCTTTAGCTGTTAAGTGAATCACTACAGCTGTTAGTAACACAGTTAAGTGAATTGGGCTTCCCCACTGACTTTGCTTGTCAGAACGTCACAAAAGGTGGTCACTGGGACACTGCAATGGTCATAAAAATGTGACATGAATATTTTTCACACTTATGACTTTTGCAGCATCTCTGTGGTCACATGATCAAAATTTGGATGCTGCAAAAGTCATAAGTGTGAAAAATATTCATAAGTCACATTTTTCAGTGCCATTGTAACTTTGAACAGTCACTAAGTTGAGGACTACCTGTACCATTTAGTGTTAAAGATCAATATACCTGGAAATATTACATTATCTACTATTTATGTGATTACTTGGGACCTGGAAAACAAAAGTCTCTCAGTAGTATGAGTTCTCACTCTCTTCTCCTTTCAACTGCCTTGTTCAATGAATAACTTGCTGCTTGAACTTTGTATTAATTCAACACTGTTCTTCTAGGCTTCCTAAGCCTAGTTTTTGAGTGCTAGTTTAACTTAAATGAAGCCATTTGCCTAAATAAAGTATTTTCATGTTATTATCTATATGAAAATTACTTTTTTTGCTTTATTGGTTCAGTAAAGGGGAAACCAATAATAGGAAAATGGGAAAAAGACAAAAACTGTATACTGTGTAACAAAAACAAATTATATAAGCTATAAGGATTTATGCATTGATTAGAAACAATTGATTAAACAAGTTTATAAGAGATTGAAAGTGATCTGTGGATTTTCTCTCTGTTAAATACAAAGACTGATGGTTAACAGGGAAATTTGAAGATTAGTTTTACCTTTGGGGTTACCTGTTGACTGTTTAATTTGATATATGACGGGCCTCTGGTCAGCAGCATATCTGAATGTGAGGAAATCTGATCTATTCCCATAACTCTAAACAGTTTGACGAAGTCCCTGTCTCTGGGGTTCTCTTTGTGTCTGTCTGTGCACATAGGTGAAAAAAAATATCTTAGAATCTCAGCAAACTTTCCAAAATAACCTGTTCATTGGCCTTCCAGGAAATTAATGCTAGCAGTTCTTACACCTAAAGTCAGGGTTAGTGTCTAGGCTTTGGGTTGCTCAAGGAAAAGATTTGCAACTAGTCCCTCACCATGATGGAGCCTGCTAATTAGGTCATAACTCATGGCCAGTAAATCAGGCCACTAACCTGATTTTGCAAACTTTTTTGTGGTGATTGATAATTAACCACCATAGTCATTAAATCAACTAATGGTCATTATTGTGTGGATTTGCCAAAAACCAGAAGAAAATGCTAGATTTTAGTAAATCCATCATAATATGTGCAAATGGCTGTAAATGTAGTCTGGTTGCCAAACACCCAAAATGTGGTTATGTGACTGCAGATTGGGGGGTGAGCAAGCATTGGAACTTTGAATACAGGTTGTAAGTTTTCCCAGGAGGTCCATTGTAACTTCAAATGATTGTTAAGTAACCAGTTAAGGACTATCTGTAGAATTCTACTCTGAACATGACAACTTAGAAATGTATAGGATCAGTTGAAAAAAAACCCTACCTGATCAAGCCCTGTTTTCTAAGAGGCTGTTAATCTTGGCAATGAACTGTAGAGTTCAAATATCTCAGTAGACCTTTAGTTGTCATGTGGATCAAAGCTTGATTTTAATAGAAAGAATAATGTTAAGCTCTGTGATTAGTCATAAAAAACTAGTTAACCATTTCATGGAATGATATCACCAAGTTTGACTCCAGTTCTTACATTAAAATAGTGGAAGGGATTTCTTTAATGTTTGTGCTAAATCAACTTGAGGAATCAGTGATCTGAAAAGAGCCATTTGTGGAATGTCCTATGTCAGTAAAAGAAAAATTCAGTTCCCTGGTAACCTTGCCAATAACCTTTTGTGGCATACCTTAAAAAGAATGTAGTGATTGCTGCCAGAGTGGCCATGGCTAAGACAGTGTAGTATGATTAGAAGAACATTTCTTCTGTTTGTATCAATGAAACATCCCTACTCAAAACAGAAGGAAGTACATTCCAAAGTGACAGATAGGCTTAAATTACACCCACCCGATGAAGTTACCTCTAAGAGAGCAAACCTTGAAGAGAATTAATAACCAACCCTGGTGTTGTCTAGGAGAAAATTGTCAGAATTATAGAAGGCAGACAGGAAAAACTACCTCTACACACACACACACACACACACACACACACACACACACGAATGAATGCTATAGAATAAATCGATTGAGACTATTTCCCCCTTATTTTGCAAAAAACTTGAAATTAATATAAATAGTGTATGGAATAGAAAACTACTGGAGTGTGCATGCATATTTGTGTGTAAAAAACACACGTACACACACACACATACACCAACAAAAGCTATGTGCAAGAAATCCAAATAAAAATCATGAGGAAAGTCAAATATAGACATTGGCTAGCAGGCACAACTCTTGTGTCTGATGAAAAAGAAATTCTGGTCTCATATCCTTGAAAAAGTGGTTTATATGTTCTACTAGATAAAACTTAGATTACACAACCATCCTGCATTACTCACAGCTTTTGGAAAAGATTAAATTTTAATGCCTTTTACTGCTAGTCTGCTTTTTTCATGTTTTTTTTTTCTTTCCATTAAAGAAACACTTCGTTAAGCTGGATAATGTTCTGATACTTTACTGAATACTAGAGAATAATCTGACTTAATTACACAGATTTCAGTCTTATTTACTCCACATAACGGAATTAATGTTGTATCAAGAGTGGTTTGAACTAGGTGCCATCCTAAAAAAAAAAAAACAGCTTTAAGAGAAGCAGACACTTTCAGAAAAAGTTTCCATGTCATCATTCTTCATGCCACTTTATTTTATCTCAAAAGCTGATATAACAGGATTTGCCACCTACAAATTAGTGGTCCTAATTTAAGGAAAATTTCAGGTTAAAGAAGGAGTTAACGTAGTGGTAGGATTCAAATATGTGAACAACTGGTTCCCTGTGTGGATGCCGCTGCTGCTTCTGGAAGTCTATTCTGGGTCTGGGCAACAAAAAATTAGTTACTGGTTCTGCTGAATTGGTGCAAATCCAGGCAGTCACTAGGAGTCTACACTGGCTTGAAGCCCCTTCTTCCCCACAAAACCTGATTGGCTATGA